GCAGCAGCAGGAGCAGCAGCAGGATCAGCAGCAGGAAAGGGTAAAGGCAGCAGTTTGAAGCGCTTGAAAGAAGCAAGAGAATATATACAACTAGGTTTATGTTTTTTATGCTGGTACGGGTTTAATGTTTTATATAATGTTGATAATAAGAAGGCATTATCATTGCTACCTCTACCTTGGAGTGTATCTGCATTTCAGTTGTTATTCGGATGGATTTTCTTTGTTTTCTCCTGGGTGTGCAACTTAAGACCTTTACCGCATTTAAACAGCTGGCGGCTATTCTTTATATATATATTACCTCAAGGTGTCTTTCATTTCCTTGTACATTTAGGAGCAGTTATATCGATGTCTTTAGGTGCTGTATCATTTACTCATATTGTTAAAGCAGCAGAACCCGTTCTAACAGCAGCATTATCCTATTTGCTGCTGCAGCAAAGATTATCTTTCTATTCATACTTAAGCCTTGTACCTGTCGTCGGAGGCGTAGCTATTGCTTCAGCTAATGAAGCTTCTTTCTCTTGGGCTTCCTTCTGCTGCGCTATGATTAGTAATATAGGAAGCAGCAGCAGAAGTATAGTCGGGAAGAAGGCGCTGCAGCAGCGGCAGCAGCTTGGCGAGAACCTCAGCAGCAAAAATATGTATGCGCTTTTAACTATATGTGCGACATGTATTTCTATCCCTTTTGTGTTCTTGTTTGAAGCTAAAGAAATATACTACTTTTGTACAATTGCTGCAGCACCGACGCAAGCAGAAGCAGAAGCTGCTGCTGCTGCTGCTGCTGCTGCAGGTGCAATAAAAGCAGCAACAGCACCAGCAGCAGCAGCACCGGCAGCAGCATTTCTTAAGGTCTGTGAGAGCGCTGTTTGGTACTACCTTTATAATGAGGTTGCTTTTCTTTGTTTAGATAAAATAAATGCTGTAACGCATGCAGTTGCGAACACCCTTAAGAGAGTCTTCATTATTGTTGCTGCTCTGCTTCTGCTGCATACACCTATTACCCCTCTAGGAGCTATCGGCAGCGCTGTTGCTGTCGCCGGTACTCTCCTTTACTCACTCAGCAGAGCTAAGTACGGATAAGCAGCAGCAGCAGCAGCAGCACCAGCAGCAGCAAGGGCTGCAACGGCAGCAGCAGCAGCAGCAGCAGCTGAAAGCGCAGCAGCAACAGAAGAAAAAGGGCTGCAGCAGCAGAAAGGGTGGAAGTGGCAGCTCAAGCGATGAGAGCAGCAGCAATAAGGAGATAAGTTGCTGCACGGGCAGCAACAGCAGCAACAGGAGGCGCAGCAACAGCAGCAGCAGCGACAGCAGCAGCAGCAGCAGCAGCGACAGCAGCAGCAACTTAAGGAACAGCAGTTGCAGCTGCAGCAGCAACAATCGGACCCGCAAAAACAGCAGCAGCTGCAGCAGCGCCAACTACAGCAACTGCAATACACAGCAACAGCAGTAGCAACAGAAGCAACAGCTGCAGCAACAACAGCAGCAGCAACAGAAGCAACAGCTGCAGCAACAACAGCAGCAGCAGCGCCGCAGGTGAGAGGAGTCCCCTATCTGCGGAAATATTTATTTAGAGAGCAGCAAACAAAATGCTCTCTTCAAGACCAGCAGCAGCAACTGCAGCAGCAGCAACAGCAGCAGCAACTGCAGCAGCAACTGCAGCAGCAACTGCAGCAGCAACTGCAGCAGCAACTGCAGCAGCAACTGCAGCAACAGCAGCAACAGCAACAGCAGCAGCGGGGGACGAGTAGGAGGACCCAAAGGATGGCAGCAGCCCCCTGTATGCTGCTACCTGCTTTTGCTGCTGCTGCTGCTGCTGCAGCACACCAAGTGCAGCAGGAGGAGCAGCAGCAGCAGCAGCAAGGTCGGACAGTGCCCGACGGCAGTATGTGTTGTTGCTGCTGCAGCAGCAGAAGCAGCAGCAGCAGCACATTGATATGATATTTGTTTTCGTGTTTAAATGCGGATCTTCATGAGAAGAGACGCGAGCAGCGAATGCAACTGAAGCAGCAGCAGCAGCAGGAGTTGCTGCTGCTGCTGTTGCTGCAGCGTCCTCCGCCCTCTTTACATCTGCAGCAGCAGCAGCAGCAGCAGGTCCTGCTGCTGCTGCTGCTGCGAGTGCTGGCAGCATTGGATTGCATACACCGGACTTGTTGGGGTGTATGCACACCGCGTGCCTCTCGAGCAGCAGCAGCTGCAGCAGCAGCAGCAGCAGGAGCTGTTGCTGCATCTCGTGCTGCAGTGTTGCTGCTGTTTAGACGCCACGCATCAGCTCGCAGAGCGATAGAGAAGACAATTGAATTCTTCCTGTATTCACAATTTAGGGTTTAGGGTTTAGGGTTTAGGGTTTAGGTCTAAAGGGATTCGCGTTATTTTTTTCTCTGCTCTTTTACTTCGCGCTCTCCCTCTTAGGGGCGTCGCTCACAGATAGTCTCCTTGGCTAGCTGGGTAGCTAGCTAGCTAGCTAGCTTAGTAGCTAGCTAGCTTAGCAGTTTAGCTAGCTAGCTGGCTGGCTTGTTTGTTAGTTAGCTGGCTAGCCGACTAGCTAGCTAGCTAGCCGCCTAGTTAGTTAGTTAGCTAGTCAGCCAGCTACCTAGCTGGCTATCTATTTCAGCGACATAGCTAGCTAGCAATCTGCTTAGCTACTTAGCTGGCTAGCTAGCTACCTAGCTAGGCTAGCTAAGTAGCTAGCTAGCTAGCTACTTAGCTAGCCGGCGGGATGGCTGTGGGTTATATTGGGGGCTCGGCTGGCCAACTAACATCGCCTATTTAACCAACTAGCGAGACAGATAGACAACCAGCTGCTCTGTTAGATAGCTAGGTAGCTAGCTAGCTAGCTGTATAGCTAATCAATTAGCTAGCTAGATAGCTAGCTAATTAGCTACCTAGCTGGGTAGCTGATTAGCTAGCTAGGTAGCCTACTAGATAGCTAGGTAGTTCGTTAGCTAAGTAGATTGCTAGGTAGCAGATTAGCTAGCTAGGTAGCCTGTTAGCTAGCTGGCTAGCTAGCTGGGTAGTTGCTAAAGGGTCTGAGCGCAGCTGGCGGGGCTGCCTATGGAGTTGCTGCTGCGGAGTTGTTGATGACGGGGAGAGTTAGAGGAATATTAAATTAAAAATATAAATAATAAATTAAAAAGACGAAGAAAACAGACGAAAAAGCAGACAAAAAGGAAAGAATTGAAGTGTATAGGCAGCTCAGATGCATGCAACCCAAGGTAGAGAATATAAAAAGCCAGAAAAAATATGAACATACATTTTAAAAATATATTTTAAATATATATTTTTAAAATAAATAAAAGAAATTCCTTCTCAGTTGCTGCAAATTATAATGTAGGGCTTCGTCTGGCTGCTGCTGCTGCTGTTGCTGCTGCTGCATGCATGCATGCATGCAGCAGCAGCAGCAGCCTCTCTCTTTCTTGCTTTTCTTTCTCTAGATAATAATTGTTATTTATTTATTTTGTTGGTTTTGTTGGTTTATTTATTTATTTGATTTTCTTTTGTTTTGATTTTCTTCTTCCTTCACTCACCAGCCACTGCGGAGAGGGACGAGGCGTATTCTTTTTATTATTTGCTGTTTCTTTTTGTGTATTGTTGCTTCCTTTCTCTTTTTCTTTATTTGTTTTGTTTATTTCTGCTGTTCCGTCTCTCTGTATTTATCTTCCTGTCTTTATTTTGTACTGTTGCTGCAGCGGCGCTCTCGCTGCTGCTGCTGCTGCTGCTGCAGCTGCAAATGCTGCTGCTGCTGCAGCAGCAGCATTTGTTTTTGATTCTTTCTTTCTCTTTTTTTGTTTCCTCTCTATTATTAATGCATTAAGGTGTCTGTGCATTTATTATGTTTTTTGTTATATCTTTATTGTAGATTTGTTTCTGTATGTATGTTTATGCTGTATATACTTCATTAAACTGCATATAATTATCTGTTAAATATATCTTTTTAATTGCTTTAACATACAACTATATATTTTATTTTTTGTTGAAGATGTCTTCTGAAGGCCCCCCGACTTCTTCTTCTTCTCCTTTTGCTTCTTCTTCTTCTTCTTCTTCTTCTTCTTCTTCTTCTTCTTCTTCTTCTTCTTTTAAAAGCCCTTTAAAGAATTATCCTTTAGGAGGAACAGCAAAGCAGATGGAGGTTAAAAATAAACTACCAGCACCTGTGCAAATAACAGCAGAGCAGCTGCTAAGAGAGGCAGTCGATAGACAGCTAGTAGATGCTGCAGCAACGAAGCCTCAGCAAAGAATTATTGATGAAGAAGAGTTAAATGAATATAGATTAAATAAAAGAAAAGAGTTTGAAGATATACTTAGAAGACAAAGACACCACATCGGCACTTGGATTAAATATGCACAGTGGGAAGCCGCACAAAGAGAGTTCAGAAGGTATATATATATTATTTATTTTATTTATTTTATTTATTTATTTATTGTTTATTTATTTGTTTGCTTATTTCTTTTGTTTATTTCTTTTGTTTGTTTATTTTATTTGCTTCTTTTATTCAGCACAAAGAGGGTTCGGAAGGTGTATATATATTTATTTATTTATTTATTTTATTTATTATTTCTTTATTTATTTGCTCATTTGTTTTGTTTATTTCTTTTGTTTATTCATTTTGTTTATTTCTTTTGTTTGTTTATTTTATCTGTTTCTTTTATTCAGCACAAAGAGAGCTCAGAATGCATATATATAAATGTATATCACTATATATATATAACTTCTTTTGTTTATTTGTTTTATTTATTTCTTTTAGTTCCTTTTAATCTGTTTGTATTTATTTCTATTTGTTTTATTTGTTTTTGTTTATTTTAATTAATTTAATTAACTGTACTTATATACATTATTTTGTGCATCTTTTAATTTATTTCTTTTGCGTCTTCTATTACCAGCAATATTATTTATTTATTTTATTTAACTCAATTAATATAATTAATTATATTGTTGTAGATTATTACATACATTTCTTTCTATTGCTAGTATAGACAAAACCTTTACAAGAAAGAAATAAACAAGAAGT